AGTCGCATTGTCCATGTCCTTTTGCAATGGCTTATAAGCCGTGCACTCCGTGGGTGTGGGTGTTTGTGGGTGCTTTTGCTGATGTTGTTGGCAGGCCATGCATGCAAAAAAAGCGACACACACCGCACGAAGTGCCTGCAAGGCAGCATTGGACCAGACTCACCTTTGCAACCTAAAATGAGGCGTGTGCGGGTATCTCACCGAAGGCGGAGAGACTGCCGCATACAACCAGACATTCGATGGTTTTCATACATTCGCAAAAAATTTCGGACATGAGACCGCACACAACAATGTGGCAATGTACACGAAATTTTAAATGTGGAACAATGCTTATTGTTGGAGGGTGCTGACCGCCTCGCAAATATAAGCAGCTGACATGTACGGTTTGCAGCGAAGATGAAGGATCCAACTGCCATAGTTGTTGGGGCATACGTGCATATGCGCGTTCATGTTTGTGGGTACAACTAAATATATATTTTTCGTCTACTTGGAAGCCATATAGGGGAACTTATCGTGGGTAAGCATATGCTTTAAGTTGCGCGCAGCCTGAAAAGCATCATCAGCGCTGCTCTGAGTAACATAACAGCTTAAACACATGATTTGCAGTATTATGGTATTTCTTTGATTTGCTTACAGGGGCGCCGCGCTGCTGCTTCATATGTGGTCGTAGACAACGCCTGCGCTTTGGCTGGTGGCGGCTCTGCCAGCTTTTGAGGACAAGTTTTATCCGAATATACGGTGCGTAAGTTATGTGTTCGTTTAAACGCATGCAGCTAGACAGCAGCATCTCAGCACAAGCGTTGCCATCTTAGCTGCGCGCCTAACCTGCGCGTTCGCTTGCCATAGTGATGGGATTTGGGATAAGGATTCATTAGTTCTTTTAGGGGGCTTTTGAGAGCTTTGGACCATGCAGGGAGTCGTAGGTGCATTCAAATCGCTAAGCCTGCAGCAACCCACAGCAGCACATCATGGGCACCTCAGCACAATCTTGCAACGACATGTTGTGGCATCAACAAAATTTCGCGGATCATAGTTCATGTATAAAGGGCAAGCGGAAGGAGTGCGCATGGTTTGGGTAGATGGGCTTGTGGGAGAC